TAGGGTGATGCCTAGTGACGTCAACAGTTGGATAGGCATGGGAGTCCTAGGGGTTTGTCAGGGGACAGGTAGGGGGTGGGGTCCTAGAGGGGAAGTTGGGGGGGGTCTCAGGAGGGGGCAGTTGGGGACAAGGGAGGCTTAGATAGGGGGTAGGGTCCCAGGAGGGGGCAATCAGGGGACAAGAACCAGTGGGACTTAGATAGGGGGTGGGGTCCTGGGGGGCAGTTGGGGCAAGGGTCGGATGAGTTGGGGTTTCTGTGGGGGACAGTCGGAGGGAGTGGATGGTGGGGCTACCCTCCCTCCCCGTGGAGTGTCCTATTTTTTGAATGTTAAAATATAGTACTCACAGTGCAGCTCTCCATTCATAGCAGGCTGCAGCATGAGGTCAAATATTCTGGCCACATTCTGTCTGTCGCTGGTGTCTAGTGGCAGGCATCTGTGTGCACAATTTCACCACAGCCCCATCTCCTTAAAAGATGCTAACCAAGGAACTACAGCTCCCAGGGCCCCCTGTTGGTTCTCAGCTCCCAGGCTGGATTCCTGCCACCCCTGCAAATGGGCTGCCCCAAGCACGTGCTTGCTTTGCTGGTGCCTAGAGCCGGCCCTGGACAGTGACACAGCACAGCCAAACCCAAACTCTCCTCCTAGAGGCAGGATATTTGGGGGCTGGGGCGAGACACAACCAAGTTAGGAAGCAAATCCCAGGACTCTGCCCCCAGCAACTGCAGCTGGGACATTAAAGTGGAACAAACAAGGAGAATTGTTCGTAATGTTTTATTCACACCAAATAACTGGAAAGCAGGAAAGTAAAAGGCGCTAGGAAGGAGATTTAATAACCACAGTGTGTGGGGAGGAGATCCCCAGCTACAGGGTAGCCAGAACAGTTTCCTTAATGGCACAAAAATAGCACAATTGTCCAGGAATTAACATAGGGAATTAATGAGTTACAGTCTCACTTTCAGTAACATGTAAAAAATCTCTCTGTCCCCCTTACGTTCCTTTTCCTGCCCTTTTTTATTTGTAATTTTTCTAGCCCTCACTTCCCACCCCTGCCTATTTTCCTATATCCCTCCCACTCTCCTCATCACAGAGCATCTCCAGTCCCACCTCTGTGATTTTATCCTTTCCCCTCTTGCTGGTTCCCCTGTCAGGGATATTTTCCTGTCACTTTTTATTTCTGGTTGTCACCATTTCTCCAGGACTCTCCCTTTATTCTTGTTTTATTTTCATTCACATTTTTCTTCTTGTTTCTTCCATGCCCTCTGCTTAAACCCGCTCTGTCCCTGCCTCTCACAGTGCTGCCAACCTCAGGAGCTTTTAAAAAATGCTGAGAAGCACCCAAAATAATGATTATTTTAAAAGATTATATAATGGTTTGGGTCTAGCTGCACCCCCCTCATCCCCCGTGTGTGACAATTTTACCGTGTGACCAGCTGTCCCTAGTTATAGGAGAAGGTGACTTTGGCCCCTCTGCTCCTCTTGCAGGGAGGGAGGGTATGGGCTGGCTGCTAGGTTACCATATTTCAGCAAGCAAAAAAGAGGACGGGAGGAGCCCCGCCCTAGCCCCGCCCCTGTCCTGCCCTAGCCCCGCCCCTGCTCCGTCCACTCCCTCCCACTTTCTGCCCCCCTCAGAACCCCCAACCCTCCCCCCCGCTCCTGGTCCCCTGACTACCCCTCCTGGGACCCCTGCCCCTAACTGCCCTCCAGAACCCC